GGATTCGAACCCGCCACCTTAGGTGTATGTGGCTGGCGCCTTAGCCGCTTGAGCCACAGGCGCCGAGCCCAGGAGTCTAATTTTTATCAGTTTAACCAGGAATAAGGAAATTCTGAAAAGGTTCGTAATTTTGGTGAAGGGTCAGTGACAAAAGTCTATGTAAATTGTGCCTGCTCTTTGATTTGATAGTTCCATTCCTAGATGTTAAAAATAATCAGAGAAGGGCCAGGTGCAGTGGCCAGGTGCAGTGGCCTGTAATCCTAGCACTCAGAGGCCACAGTGAGTGGATCATCTAAGCTCACAGGTTCAAGACCAGCCTGAGCTGGATCAAGACCTCATCTCTAAAAAAAAAAAAAAAAATAGCCAGGGGTTGTGGCAGGCGCCTATAGTCCCAGCTACTTGAGAGGCTGAAGCAAGAGATTCTCTTGAGCCCCAAGAGTCTGAGGTTGCTGTGGCATGTGTGTTTCTGTTTAAAGATATTTTATTATGGCACTCTACCAGGGGTGACAAAGTGAGACTCTGTCTTAAAATAATAATAATAATAATCAGAGATGTTTTATGTATATTACGTACAACAGCAAAAACATTGCAAACAAGATAATCTAAAATGGAGGAGCAATTAATCACATATTTAAACAGTACACAGACATCTCTTGCAGGAAATATGTAATGATGGATAAAGAAATTATTTTAAAGGTTTAGTATAAAATCCCGGTTGTAAGGAAAAGATATTTAAAAACATGCATATACTTGTGTACATGTGAGTGTGCCACATGTGAGTATAAATATGTAGTTGATCCTCATCTGTTTGTTAGATATTTGCAGATTCATCTACTTGGTAAAATTTATTTGTAACCCCAAAATTAATACTCAAAGCACTTCCAAGGTCATTCTCAAACTTGTTTAGAGTGGCAAAAAAATTGAATCACCCAAAGCACACATTACCAGCCAAGGTTGAATAAGAAGATTCCCTGCCCTCTGGGTTCAGCACTAATACTATAAAGAATTGTCAGCTTGGCGCCTGTGGCTCAAATGGCTAAGGCGCCCCCCACATATACCTAAGGTGGCAGGTTCGAATCCAGCCTGGCCCCCCCCAAACAACAATGATGGCTGCAACCAAAAAATAGCTGGGCTTTGTGGCGGGTGCCTGTGGTCCCAGCTACTTGGAGGCTGAGGCAGGAGACTCACTTAAGCCCAGGAGTTGCAGGTTGCTGTGAGCTATGATGCCACGGCATTCTACCCAGGGGGACAGCTTGAGGCTCTGTCTCGAAAAAAAAAAAAAAGAATTGTCCTTTCTGGGTCTGTTTAGTGCCATGTTTTTCACATTGTTGTGCTTACCATTGGGTGATTTCACTGTTGTAAAATGGTCCCCAAATGTAGTGCTAAAGTGCTGTCTAGTGTGCTGAGTCCAGGAAGGCTGTGACATGTCTGCAGAGAAAATGTATGTTAATATAAGCATCATTCAGGTATGATTTGTGGTGCTGTTGACCGTGACTTCAATGTTAATGAATCAATAATAATGTAATAAATAAAGTGTCTTTAAACAGAAACACACATAAGACAAGGGTACCAAGCAGTAGCTCGGTTGAATAAAATGTGGCCAGAGGCTCTCCAGATCCTAACCCTACATTTTCCCAAAACTACTGATTCAGCTCTGGCTAACTCAGTCTTAACAAGGCAGCTTTTTAGAGCATACCTAGTAAGAATAATAAGAACTGACTGTGTGTTTATGTGTGCTTTAAAAAAGACTAGAAAAAAAATAGATCAACATATATAGCAATGGTTGCGATTACTTTATTTTCCTTGTTCATAGTTTCTAAATTTTCTACACTGAATCTTTATTTCTTTGTAATCATTATATTCATGTTTTTAAATATTGATTTTAAAAATTAAAACAGCCTGGGCATGGTGGCTCATGACTGTAATCCTAACACTCTGGAAGGCCAAGGCTGGTAGATCTACAAACTCCTTGAGGTCAGGAGTTTGAGACCAGCCTGAGCAAGAGTGAGATCTCGGCTCCGCGCCTATAACTCAACCGGCTAAGGCGCCAGCCACGTACACCTAAGGTGGCGGGTTCGAATCCCCAGCCCGGACCTGCCAAACAACAATGACAGCTGCAACCAAAAAATAGCCGGGCGTTGTGGCGGGCGCCTGTGGTCCCAGCTACTTGGGA